TCTCCAATAATTCTCTCCAATATACCTTCTGCTCCCCTCTCTGTTTCCTTTTCTTCTGGAATCCCAATTATTCTAATGTTGTTTCATCTTATGGTGTCACTTATCTCTCGAATTCTCCCCTCGTGGTCCAGTAGCTGTTTGTCCCTCTTTTGCTCAGCTTCTTTATTCTCTGTCATTTGGTCTTCTATATCGCTAATTCTTTCTTCTGCCTCATTTATCCTAGCAGTGTGAGCCTCCATTTTTGATTGCACCTCATTAATAGCTTTTTTGATTTCAACTTGGTTAGATTTTAGTTCTTTTATTTCTCCAGAAAGGGCTTTTATATCTCCCGAGAGGGTTTCTCTAATATCTTCCATGCCTTTTTCGAGCCCGGCTAGAACCTTGAGAATCGTCATTCTGAACTCTAGATCTGACATATTACCAATGTCTGTACTGATTAGGTCCCTAGCCTTTGGTACTGCCTCTTGTCCTTTTTTTTGTGGTGAATTTTTCCGCCTTGTCATTTTGTCCAGATAAGAGTATATGAAGGAGCAAGTAAAATACTAAAAGGGTGGCAACAACCCCAGGAAAATATGCTTTAGCCAAATCAGAAGAGATCCCAAATCGTGAGGGGGGAGAAAGGGGATAAAAAGAGGTTCAGAAAGAAAAAAAAAAAAAGAAACAATTAAAAAAAGAAAACCAATAAAGAAAAAATATAAAAAGGAAAAAAATATATATATATATTAGATAAACTAGTTAAAAAACGTTAAAAAAGAAAAGGGTAAAAGTTAAAATAATTTAGCAGAAGAAGAAAAAAAAATTGAAAAAGAAAAAAAAATTAAATTAACTGCAAGGCTAAAGAATCATGGGGAGAAAGCCATGAGTTCCATGCTTTGCTTTCTCCTCCTCTGGAATTCCGCTGCTCTCCTTGGTATTGAAACCGCACTCCTTGGTACGTGAACTTGGTCCTGGCTGGGCTTCTTGTTGATCTTCTGGGGGAGGGGCCTGTTGTAGTGATTCTCAAGTGTCTTTGCCCCAGGCGGAGTTGCACCGCCCTTACCCCCGGGCCGGTCTGAGTAATCTGATCGGGTTTGCTTTCGGGAGCTTTTGTTCCCTGAGCGCTTTCCGTAGAGTTCCGGAGGGCGGGAATGAAGATGGCGGCCTCCCGGTCTCCGGCCCGGAGGAGCCGAGAGCCCGGGGCTCCACTCCTCAGTGCGCCCTCAGAGAACAGTGCCCAATTACTCCCGTCACCCTGCCTCTGGCCGCGCTCGGAGCTGACCAAGCCTGCGACCGGTTCAAGGTAACCCCGAGCTTAGAGCTCACTCCTCGGCTCTGTCTCTGTAGCCGGCTTCCCCGTTCTAATACCTGTAGGCTCTGCAACACTCAGACACCCCCGATCCTTCTGTGACCCTGCGGGACCTGAGGCCACGCTGACCCTGCGTGGGCTTCACCCCGGTTAAGCCTCTGGAGCGATGTCCCTCAGCGGAACAGACTTTTAAAAGTCCCGATTTTGTGCTCCGTTGCTCCGCCGCTTGCCGGGAGCCGGCCCCTCCCCCCGCGGTCTATCTTCCCGTCGCTTTGGATTCACTTCTCCGCCAGTCCTACCTTTCAGAAAGTGGTTGATTTTCTGTTTCTAGAGTTGCTGTTCTTCTTCTCTTCGATCTCCCATTGGATTTGTAGGTGTTTGCAATCTTTAGATAAGCTATCTAGCTGATCTCCCGCTATCTGAAGTAGTCTCAGCCTGCTACTTCTTCGCCATCTTGACTCCTCCCATTAAATGTTTAATAATAATGAGGTACAGAATTTTGTAAGTGATTTTTGGGTTTTATAAATTAAAGGAGGTTTGAGGTGATTCCCATAATAACATTACTTGCCCTCACACCTATTTCCTCCTAGTTTCTTGAGTTGGCAATAAAGGGCGGGGGGTGTTGGAGCCAACACTAAGACCACCAGTAATCCAAGTAAACTGAGCTCAACAGAACTCATGTCTCCCCTTCTTCAAATCCTTTGAATGTTAAGAGCTTTCAAAAAGCTTGAAAATCTCTAATCTAAAGGCAAAAGAGCAACATAGTAATGATAAAGACAGAGGTACAAAGTATAGCTCTGCCTTTTATTTGTTTGTGGACACTGAGTTATTTAAGCTGCTTAAACCACCTTTCTTATTCATTTTTATGGTAATGTGGGTATTTATGAGGATTAGATGAGATGGTAAACATAAAATAGGATTGACATGATGCATAGCAAATAATTGTTAAGAAATATTATTTGTTCATACTAATAATAACATTAAGTAGTTCCAGATCACAAAGGTCTTTCCCCAAAGATTTTTCCATGAGCTGGAGAAGAGAACTCTGGTTAAGTTTTATTTCCTAGCAATGGACCTCTCAGGGTGGCTGGCTAGTAATCCGTGCTGCCAGCAACTGCTTACAGAAGGCCTTCAAGAAATTTCTGCCCTGCTCTTTGGGGCTTCTAAAGGCCACCAAGACTCTACTCTTCAGAGTTGAAAGTTTTGGACTCTGGACACAAAAATGTCAGAAAGGGCCCTCTATCGTTTGCTAATTATTGACTTAACATCTCTTTTAACTCTTTGTGGTTCTGTCCCTCCTGGGTTGTGGAGACCATTGTTTGGGTCTTTCTCCCGCTCTCTCACTATGCTTTTCTTCCTTTCCATGCTTTCTTGTTTTTCCCACAGAGGGCCATACATTGAAAGGCTGGTTGGACACAATTGCTTCAAATCTAGTCAGATAAGTCTTGTCATGTTTATGATCATAGTTGCTACTTATTCCTCCTTGAATTAAAGGAGCCTAGATTGTGTCTCCAAATGATGCTTCTGGAACCGCTTCTTGTGATCTCTTTAGGCTCTGGGACTGGTAGAATGACAGCATATCTCATGCTTGAAGCTCTCTTGCAAAAGAGCTGTAGCCAGTTTGCTCATCGACCAAAAGTTTGCTACTCCCCTGGTTCAACAGCACAGGCATCTTTGATTTGCAAAGCTGGTACAATATTTTTAGAGTCCATTGAGTATGGGGGAATTTATACATAGAAAAGTTTCTTCTGATGGCTGTAATTGGATTTTAAGAGCCACATCATACAATGTTTTCTTGTTCAAATGGAATCAAATGTGTGGGAGTCCATCACCTTGTGATTCAAAGCCCCTGAACCTCCTCCCAAACAAAAAAAATTTCCTCTCTCCCAACTACCAAATGTTCCATTTCACCCAGACAAAACAGCCACTGCAGTTAAGGGAGCCACATGAGCCCTTGTAAGAGCAAACAACTCTACTTTTTTAGAGTGAACCAAGATAGGTAAGTGATTAGACATCGTCATGTACTTGAGTCTTGAAAGGCTCATCCAAGGATTTAAGTGGAGAAGGAAGCTGCTATATAATCCTTAGAGCTGACCCCAAAACAACCTGACTCTGGCCAGGCCTTAACACGTTTCCAGAGTTTTCAGGACCAGGTATTTTGGGAGCTCCTTGGCTGAAAAACAGTGCCCTGTCCTAGAAGCTGGAAGTCAAGACAAGTACTCGGAACCTTACTAGTGCAAATGCTGAGACTCTCCAAGCCACTCTACTGTGGGGACTGCCTTCTTTATTGCTAGACAAAGATAGAATCAAAGGATTATAGGCCTCTTTCCTACTGGAGCTTAGCAGGGGTGGGCCTATGAGGAAGACTGAGGTGGTTTGGCCATTTTAGACAATGAGATGGACAAAAACCAGTTCCCCTCCAAGCCCTAGGACCATGTTTTCTTCTTGCTGGTAGGGACAGCCACACTTGGTGGTAGAAAACAAGAAAGACCCTGGCTATCCTAGCTTGGGGAAAGGAATTTTTCATAGATCCAACTAGTTAACTAGAGTTTTGCATTAGGTTTTGTTGCCAAGCCTAGCTAGTAGTAAAGTCTTACTTTGCCTTGTTTTGTTTTCTTCACATATTTTTTATCTAGTGACCTTGAAGCAGAGTGAGCAGTCAAAGGCAGGATTAGGATATTACCAGATATTTTGGGTCTTCTTAACCAAACACCATTATTTATCATGTTTTAATATCCCATACCATTATTAGGTTCATAGGGGCTCATGCCAGAAATTCTCCATTAATTTTTACTTAAAATCCCACTTATGAGAAGTTCAGTGATATTACCTCCCCAAAAAAGTGATTGTCAAAATGCAGTCAGAAGATTAGAAGCCAAACTGCTTTGTGTAGTATGTTATTCATTCATTGTCATCCTATCCAAAGTTGTGTGTTTAATGATATGACAAGGTTGGCAGGGACTCCCAGGACCTTATTTCATGGTACCGTTTTTCAATGAAGATAATAGTATCTGTGTCAGTCATCTCTAGACCTATTGAGAAGAGTTGAGTCTCCACTCCTTTTCAAAAAATTTCAGACCTTTTCTTTTTTTCTCACTCAGCTGCCCTCCCCTGAACAGGCCTGGCCCTGAGAGTGCCTATTTTATAAGTAATAATTTTTGTGTGCTTTTTTTCCCCCCTATTTCATTTTAACACATACAGCTTTGGATCAGAAACCATTTTCTTCCCTCAGGCTTCAAGTGAGCAGATCTCATACTTCAGTTCATGCCAGATTGCTTACTTAAGAAAGTTCCTCTGTGAAATATATGTGCTTAAACTCATTATACTTTGATAATATTAATTCTTAGTATTTATTTTTCCCGCCTGCAGAAAAGAACCAGACCTTCAGGGATTGGTCAAGAATTCTCATTTTGAACACTCCACAGTTTACTTCATTAGGTCATTTAAAACTACATTCACATTTTTACTCTCCATCATAGGGAAAAAACTAAACAAAGAAGCAATAACTGCTTTATATTTAAAAACTCACAGGGTAGACACTTGAGACCTTCTACGTGTATAGACTGCTTATTTACCCAACTTTTGCTTCAATGGAAACATTTTGCCAGTTATGGGAACCTCTGAAAGCTACTCTGTGTTACTAATGGCATCGTCACATATTCTGTTTTCTCAGAAAGTAGTTCTCAGAGCTTTTTGTATTCAGGTCGGTACTTACTTGGAAATACACCTGCAGTATTGCATCTTAAGGATTCGAAGTTGTTTGCAGCCTCTCTGAAGGTCCTCAAGCATTTGGTCGGTAAGCAGGATACAACCAGAAATATCCAAAATATGCAAGTAATGGCATTTTGCTGATAACACCTCCATCGCTGAGTCTGTAATCTGAACACACAGCCAAAGTGAAGTACTGATTATTCCAATGAACTCCATCCCACAGAAGAGTAATGTACTAATCAGTTTGGCCACTGTAACAAAATGCCATAGACTGGACAGTTCATTTTTTTTAAGATATTTATTTATTTGACAGACAAAAATCACAAGTAGGCAGAGAGGCAGGCAGGGGGGTGGGGTGGAAGCAGGCTCCCTGCTGAGCAGAGAGCCTGATGTGGAGCTTGATCCCAGGACCCTGGGATCATGACCTGAGCCAAAGGCAGAGGCTTTAACCCACTGAGCCACCCACGTGCCCCCTAGACTGGATAGTTTAAATAGCAGACATGTGTTTCTCACAGTTCTGGAAGCTGAGAAGTCCAAGATGCGGTTACCCACAGACTGAGTGTCTGGTGAGGACCCTCTTCCTAGCTTTTAGATGGCTGCTTTCTTACTGTATGTTCACAGGGCAGAGAGATAGCTCTAGTTTCTTCCTATTCTTATAAGGCCAGTAATTCCATCATGGTGGCTCTACACTCATGAACTCAGTCTATACCTAATTACCCCCCAAAGCCTTACCTCCCAGGACTATCACACTGAGAATGAGGGTTTCAACATATGAATGGGTGGGAGGCAAAAATTCAGTCCATAGCAAACAGAATCAAAACTCTTGCCAGCTTGTCACGTGATGGGCCTGTAACTCACGTTAGTGATTTACCTGTTCCCAGAACAGAAAAACTATGGTTCAGGTGGCACCAACAGACTTTGTGATCTTGCTCTTATTTTCATTTTAGAGTTCTCTACTTTGGATGGGTAACTTCATCAAAACTTCCTTAGTCATACCTGTCACACCAATATGAGCAACTTATGAAATGCTGCCCTAATGGGATTTGGCTTTACACTCAAATCCACTCTGAGGCATCATCATTTTAGAAACACAGGTTTAATAACATAACATGTTACAAAGCTATAAAAAATAGATATCCCCTGAAGTTAACCTGCAGACAAGGTCAGATTACTCTGAGAAGGAATCTGAACCTCTCTGATGATTTGTGTGGAGAGACTGGAAGCAGGTGAGTAGGTGAGACAGATGTTTGCAGGCAGGAGAAGAAAGAGCAGATTCCACAGAGACTACATGAATCTTACTCTGAGGAGTTCTGCTGAGGGCTCCAACATCTTGAGAGGTTGGCCAGATGCTCTGCAGAGATAATTCCACTCCACTTCTTAGATTATTTTACTTACTCAGGGTCTAGCTTTTGAATTCATAGCTAAACTGAGACTTGCTGTAGAATCACCGAGATCACTTTCCTCAAAGGAATTTTTTTCCAACTGGTTTTAATTTCTCATTTTAAATGTTTGAACATTCTAAAAAACATGCCATGAGGCTTGGCTCTTGTTTTTAATATAAAGTTGAGAGAATCATGCATAAAATCCTTCAGTTTGAAATGTAAACTTTCTAAGTTTGGAAAAATAGATGTTGTCATTGTCTAAGCATGGCCTGTTTTCAGAACATGCTCAGGATCAAGGTTTAACATTGTGCCTGATTCTCATAAAAATGCCTTCAGACATTCCTGCCATACTATGTTGGTCTCTGAGGATCTGGTGTCATTGAAAAGACATAGAAAAAAAGCCCTCAGAATTGTAGAGAAAAAGAAGTCCAGGACAGGTAGAGTTCAGGGAGCTAGGTTTTATTGGTTCTGAAGGAGTGAAAAAGGAGCCCGACGTTTCCCACAGATCAGAAGCACAAGATGTTCAATGACTGAACTGATGTTGTTGGCCCTTGGAACTCGAACTGCAGGTGACTGGCTAAATTCTTACCTCCCAGATACAAGGTCCTCATAGTCTCACTGAGCAGAGAGTGTTATTCCCATTTTAGTGGTGGGTAAGGTGGGGTCATAATATACGTGGTGAGGGGTGCCTGGGTGGCTCAGTGGGTTAAGCCTCTGCCTTCGGCTCAGGTCATGGTCTCAGGATCCTGGGATAGAGCCCTGCATCGGGCTCTCTGCTCAGCAGGGAGCCTGCTTCCTCCCTCTCTCTCTCTGCCTGCCTCTCTGCTTACTTGTGATCTCTGTCTGTCAAATAAATAAATAAAATCTTTTAAAAAAATTAAAAAATATATATATATACGTGGTGAGCTGGTTGCAAGGAAGAGCTGGCCTTCCAGGAAATGGATAAGGTGACCATTCGAGATTGACTCCTGGGCTTTTGAGAAACCTAGCCTAGGATGATGAGCCAGACACCAATGTCTTTTGTGGCTCATCAAAACCAATGTAGGTGAAAATATAATACTATGTGTCAACTATATTGGAATTTAAAGTAAAATAAGATTTAATTTAAAAAAGCAATGTAGGTAAAATATGTTAAACTGGACCCACAGCCTTATGATTTTTCTCAATGAGGACTATTACAATTGGCTTAAATTATGGTCACCACATCTTCTGAGTCAGGATACTTACTTGACTCACAGAGAAAGTAAAGTTAAACCCTTCTTCTGTCTTACACTGAGGTTCTGGAATAATCTATTCCCCTTCCGTTTTTTTACCCTGGATCTTTGATATAGGGTAATTCATTTGATAATATCTTATTTGTGTAACATCATCCTTAGTTTCTAGGCTGCAAGACAGTTTATAGAAGGAGCTTCTCCTTACCAAAAAGCAAGAAACAAAACAAAACACCCAAAATCAAACAAACAAAAAATCCTCTGCCCCAAGTCACTGGAGTCCTTATTTCTCTCATTCTCCTACTTTTCCCCCTAATTAGTAGAGCCACTAAAAAGCCCATTCCACATCTGTGCCTGCTTTATGGCCAGGGTAATTCCCAGGCAACCATGTGCTGTCCATGTGTTTATGTGTCTGTGTGCAGTGAAAACAAGAACTCTGCAGAGGGTCTACGGTCAGCGCTAAGTGTACCTAGTTCTTTGACACCCACTTCTAGAACCAGATGATGCTGCCCAGAAAGACACTTGGTTTCTCTAGTTCTTTTTTTTTTTTTTTCCAAGATTTTATTTATTTATTTGACAGAGAGAGCAAGAGAAGAGAAAGAGCACAAGCAGTGGGAAAAGATAGGCAGAGGTAGAGGACCCTGAGATCATGACCTGAGCTGAAGGCAGACACTTAACCGACAGAGCCCCCCAGGTGTCCCAAGTTTCCCTAGTTCTAAACAAGTGCACTATTAAACAAAAATTTTGTTTTGAACTTTCTAGATTAATTTCGTCACAATTTACCACATCTTTTCCCCCATCTCCTCCTGTTTCTTACTATAGCACAAATAACTATGAATTAGGAGGTTCTAGCTTCACCCTCTTCACCCACTCACTGCACTAAACTGAACAGCTGAGAAGCTGAAGTTTCAGACGAGCTAGACTGTAGGGCATCTTGAGAGCCTGATGCTTTACTAAAAAGAAGCCCATCAGTGTGCACAACAGAAGACAACACGGTTGTTCATGATCTTGTAATTTCTGAGGATATTTTAAAGATTTTTTCATTTTCTTCCCTCTGCATATTTTTCTTCCTCCAAGTTTTTTCTACTAATTTGTTCTACTTCAGAGGCTTTTCTGTTATGTCTGTGATCCTTGATAGTCTGCCATTTATCAATAGCAAAAGGGCTAACCACTGATTAGAAGGTCTGAGTGCATGATGTGGGTCTTCTCTACCCAAACTCCAATGGTTAGATGGATTATTAGTTGATAAACCCCCAAATGTCAATATTTTTCTGTCTTTCATCGTGTGCTAGTCAGTCTCCAGAAAAGAGGCTTTCAGTCTTCCGCCTGGAGGGAAAGATCTGGCAGCCACATTCTAGGTGCTGTGTTGGAAGAGTACTTGAGCGTCTCTGCATTCAGCATTGGGTCACATAATTCCTATTTTCACTTTTGTACTCAAACTCTCAATTATACATAGTATCTCTCCCAGCCCAGCAACCCTCTGTTTTTAGTTTAGTTTAGTTTTGTTTTGTTTTTTAAGATTTATTCATTCATTTGAGAGAGAGAATGGGCACGTGCATGAGTCGGGGGAGGAGCAGAGGGAGAGAATCCTCAATTAGACCCCCACTGAGCGCTGAGCCTGATACCTCCACCCATAAGATCATCACCTGAGCCAAAACCAAGACTTGGACACTTAATCAACTGAGCCACCCAGGTGCCCCCCAGCAACGCTTTGTTTTTACTATCTTTAGAACCAGTAGTAGAGCATTTGGTTCCCACCCCCACCCCCAGGACATTTGGCAATATCTGGAGATATTTTTCATTGTCATGGTAAGGCCGTGTGGGGGACCAGGTGTTATGGACACATACTGGGGAGAGGGTAAGGATGCTCTTAAACATTCTACAGGGCACAGAATAGCCCCCACTACGAATTATCTCATCCAAAATATCAGTAATGCCAGGGTTGAGAAATCTAGGAAATAAATACCCAACCTTCTGGTGAAGGTAGGGAAGGGCAGGGGCCCAGGGGTGTGAGGTAGGGGAGGAAATCCAAAGATCTGTCTGTATTTCTCAAGAACTTTTAACCCAGTCTTCCTCATTTTAGCCACCCTCTTAATCCGGTTCCAGGGGTAAACAGTGCTACCAAATTTGAAGATCATTGTATAAATCAATTTTCCCCCCACCTTTCTCTACTGTTGGCTTAGAATTCAAAGCAGTCTCTGGTCTATTAAATTAGTCGATCTATTTTCAAACGTCAAAAATTTTCTTACTCTTGTCTCTTCTCCTGTTTTTCCTATCAACAGGGACTCCTACCCTTCTTCTGCAGTTCTGTAGGGTTTCAAGAGGGAACAAAATTATATGTGTAATCTGGAAAAAAACCTATATGTGTATATTCTATCTGCCATTTTGAGCCAGAATCAGAGATCTCTATTTCTTGACATGGAAATATGTCCATAGTGGTTTTTATTTATTTATTTATTTATTTAATAAACATATAATGTATTTTTATCCCCAGGGGTACAGGTCTGTGAATCACCAGGTTTACACATTTCACAGCACTAGTCTATAGTGTTTTAAGAGAAAAAAAATAGGCTACAATGTATTTTGGAAAGGGTGATTCTATTCTAAAAGAAAAAGGGACAAAACATAAATCTTCTATAACTAATCTCTGTGTACATAGAAAAATATTCTAGAAGACTAAATATAAAATGCCAATAATGGTTATGTCTGGATGGTGGTATGACAACAGATTTTACTTTCTCCTTTTTGTTTGTATGTGTAGTCCAAATATTTTATAATAAGTATGTATTTATTTCATTAGCAGATGTCAGAAAAATTATCAAGCACTGGAAATAAGACAAAAGATGATTACATGTCTTTTCAATGTCATACTGGAACATTGTTTAACAGGCCTACCAGAGGAATTTTATAAGGAATTATGCCATACTAATGACTATCAACTAGGGCCAAAACTCAGTGAAGTTTACCTGTTGTAACCTGTTACATTTTTGTCCAGGAGAAATGTAAATTATTTCTATCTGGTAGAAACTACAACTTCAAGGTTATGGGCTTAGTACCTTAGAGGACATTAACCAATTTTAGATCTACCCAACAATCATATTCCAGCATCCTTTTTCTTCAGTTCCTACAACTACTCGGTTTGATCAAATGCTCTATGAACTTGTTTTACCATTTTTCTGGTTCTCTCATTAATGAATTAAATAAACCTTTGACACATTTTCATATTTGAATGAGAATTGTTTTAACTTTTTGAAAATTCTACTTTGAAACAAATGAAATCATAAAGCTATCTCCAGTTTGGAGAAAGGAAAAAAAAAAATGTAACGAATACCTCAGACATAACAAAGTAAATGTGTTCTGTGATGCGTTTAACCCCTGCCTACTGCCCTGCCTGGGTTCTTTGTGCTTCAGCTGGACCTGTCTGAGCTCTGACTCCTATACATACCTTTGGACAGCCAGCAATGCTGAGAGATGTGAGGCAAATGCAATAAATGGCCAATGCTTTAATAATCTCATCTGTCAGCTGGGGGCAATAAGAGACATCCAAATGTTCTAAGATCAGTGAGCCTTTGCAGAATGCCTGCAAGAAATTCCAAAGTCAGAGGTTTTTTTTTCTCTTTTTTTTTCTCTTAAGTCTTTATTTGTATGTTATGTATATCTGGAGCTACCTTACCCATAGCAGTTTACTTAGTATGCATTTCAGTCCCTGAAATAGAGATATGTTACATCGTGTTGAGGAAAATAAAAAAGCAATTACATCCATTTTTTTTTTAAACAAAAGACATTCACATACTAGCTTAACAGCTTAGCAATATTCAAATTCCTGTTAACAGAATTTGGTTTTCCTGAATTTAGTGCTAATGAGATTTTACCCAGGTGTTTAATAATTATTAGAGTTATATTAGACAAATGACTGGAGGAAAAGTAATCTGGAGGGGAGAATTAGATGGGAGACACTCTGGGTCTGGGGTTGATGGTATTAATATAACAGAAAGACCACAGTCTTTGGAATCAGGTAGACCTGAGTTTTAATTTCATTTCCACCACTGATTAGCTCTGAAACTTTAGCAAGTCACGTCATTTTTCTGACCCTCAGTTTCTTCTTTTTTAAATCAGGGAAAATAATATCTACTCTCTAGCATTGTTCTGAAATATGAAAATGTTCACCTGAAGTTTCTAGGGCTAACAAAGTCCTAGAAACGATTGGAACTTCTTCCGTTTACCTTAGTAGTTCTTAAGTTTCATTTTTCAGTTAAAAGCAAGAACTGTGTAAGAAGAATCCATGAGGAAATAACGAGTTTACAAGCCAGCAATTATACAAGAACAAAAAGATCCACAAAAGTAAACCTAATAGTAGTTGTAAAAATATCCTAAGTCAAGATGAGTAGGAGTTGGAAACCAAGAACAACTCAAGCTATACTAATACTGTACTTATAAAAGTCCTTCCCCCAAATTATAAAAAACTAGAAATTATCAACAGGTGCCCAGTCACTCTAGAGGTTTTGGCTCATTGAGAAGCAGCTCAGATTTTTAGAATACTAAATTGGAGACCTCAGTAAGTGATAGTTGACCATTAATTTTAGTTATAAATATTAGATTTTAGTAACTAGTGAGTTACTAGTAAGACATTACTTGTTTATATGTAAAAATGGATATCCATCAGACTGTATGTGATTTTCCTCTCAGACCTGAGGGAGGGACCTGGGCTGTTGATGGCCATCAGGATGACTCCACAGGTAAGACTACCAGTGGGCTTCCCTCCCACTGAGTATGCTAATTTACAGTCTTTTTTTTTTTTTTTTTAGCCCTAAAGAAGACTGGAAAGAACCAGTCAGCTCACTATTTTCTTTAGCAACTTAGTAAAAGAGGGAAAATTTCCAGGGGCAATTTAGTACAGGAGGCAAAAGATAGTACTAAAAATTTTTGGTAATTTAACCCTCAATCATTGTCTCTTCCTGACCAACATAACAAACAGCGATTCCTTTTTCCTCTCACCTCATGTGGAACTTGTCTTTTTCAATGGATTCAGCAGTTACAGTACTTGACTTATTCCTGTATTGTGGCTAACTAATTTGTATAGAGATCTGTCTTCTCCAGCAACTAAGTGGTGTCAAAAAATGGAGGGGACAGCTTGTCATAAGATAGTGAGGTCCCTGTCATTGGAGATAACCAAGTATAGAGAGCACACCCAGTTGTGGTACAGAGGGGAATCTGGCTTTGAAGGATTGGAATTATTGGTCTTGAATCTCAGCTTGGAGATTTAACAAGTTTTTCAAAGCAAATACAGGAAGTATCTCAGAGGTATTGTGTGGAACGCTATTAGATTTTTTTGTTTGTTTGTTTGTTTCAGAGGTAGAATTTAGTGATTCATCAGTTGCATATAATACCCATGCTCATTACATCAAGTGCCTTCCTTAATGCCTGCCCAACACCCAGTTATCCCTCCCCCGCCACCTCCCCTCCAGCAATCCTCAGTTTATTTCTTAAGAGTTCTCAATTTTCATCTTACTTTTCCTTCCCTTCCCCTATGTTCATCTGTTTTGTTTCTTAAATTCCACATATGTGTGAAATCATATGGTATTTGTCTTTCTCAACTGACTTATTTCACTTAGCATAATACCTCTAGTTTCTTCCAAGTCATCACAAATGGCAAGATTTCATTTTTCTTGATGGCTGAGTAATATAATATTCCATTATATATAGAGAGAGACGCACACATATACACACCACATCTTCTTTATCCATTCATCTGCTAATAGACATCTGGGCTCCTAACATATTTTGGCTATTGTGGTCATTGCTGCTACAAACATTGGGTTGCACATGCCCCTTCAAACTACTACATTTTTATCCTTTGGATAAATACCTAGTGGTGCAATTGCTGGGTTATAGGGTAGTTATATTATTAACTTCTTGAGGAAACTCCACTTTTGCCTGAGTGGTTGTACCAGTTTGCATTCTCACCAACAGTGTAAGAGAGTTGCCCTTTCTCACATCATCACCAAAATCAGTTGTTTCCTGAATTGTTAATTTTTCTGCTAGATTTTTATACCCCCTTCACAAGCATCATATTTATAATTCGGTAGGTTCTCAATATATATTAGTTGGTTGGTCCACCCTTTATAAGTGTTTCAAGAATACAAAGAATTTGGGTTGTTGTTTTTTTTTAAGAATTCTGTTTTAATAATATAGGAATTCTTAGGTCACAAGGGGTAGGATAACATTGTTTTCTGTTTAGAGAATAGACAGAGTCCAAAGAACCAGAGAAAATTTACAACAAGAAGGAATATTTATGCTAAGAATAATTTATTAAAAGATGAAGTGAGCTTTAAAGAGATTCAAGGCTCTTAGTGTCTGAAAACCCTTACAGTTACATGTTACATCTGTCCATGTTTTGGACTGCTTGACTCAGTTCTGCTTCAAGTCTTCTTAAAACCTCTAACATTCTTTGAAGTTGAACTTTCTCAGAGGTTTTAAAATTAAAGAATAACTTATAAAAACGTATTAGAAGGTCTATGATACATTCATGGTAGCAGTCTCATCCATGGAAAATCTGAGGCATAAAGATTGGTCTCGGGCTTTGTGCTTGGCATAAGTCACTGCAGATCCGAGAAGTAAGTCAGAACTTCTCTTTTCTTTATAATTCATCTTTTCCTTTAGAGACATGTAAGTCATAAGTAACTTAAGTCTGCAGTCATGTTTCACCATAATCACTCATGAAATTCCATTTCTCCCCTACAGATAAGATTATTTTATGCTTTTCTGGCTCAGTGATGCAGATTCTGACATATATTAGTGCTGTTGATTTTCTTGTCTTGGAACATGTCAGACTAAACTTCTTCCCAGACAAAATCTTTTGTAATGAAGATGGGGAGAAAACAGACATTATCAGGTTTGGCTCCCAACCCACATATCAACCAGTTTTGCTGTGGGTTAACAATTTTGAAGTAAACCTCCACATCTTAGTGAGTTAAATCATTTCTTTTCTGTATGTCCTGAGCTGAGTCACAATGTGGGAAGGCTGAATGACCACATTCCTAAATTGGGTATGTAGAGGAGACCAAGTCTCACTGACATTTACTGACTATCACAAAGATGTGCTTCTGCCAAAATCCTGATTTAAGCCCCCTCAACAGGTGGCACTCTCAGCCCCAAAAAACTCCCCTTGTGGTGCATACCCGTCTTTTGACTAGTTACCTCATTAGGTGCTGATTCATTCTACCACTAAGTTTTGTGTTGTTGTTTTGTTTGTTTTTTTTTTTTTTTCCTATTGATAATCTTGGGAAAATCTTGTACTGTCCAGAACCATTTTCTATGAAGACTGGTTTTGGCTGTTTCAAAGGCTAAAATACAACTTTCACAATTTTAAGTTATAAACTGGATTCAAAACTAGTTTCTTGGGCATCATATATCCCATTGAAGATACCCTTGGTCCCATTAGACATCAGAGTAAGTGGGTGTAACAATGGCCTGGCACACTGAGCTGGGGAATCTGGGCATTGCCACCAAAACTAAACCCTGTAAAACCTTACCTCCTAGTGAGATGCCTCTCCTATTCTCACCCTCCCTGCCGGGGAAACCAGACTGCTCCAGACTTAGCTAAGACATACTTCTTTTAAATATGGAGGAGATTCAAAAAGGGTAAAGTCCCAAACCCCAAACTGGCATTTCCAAAGATACTTTCATGATGCAGTTTTTTACCTAATTACATGGTGATTTGGGAGATAAGCTTTAGCTTCAAGCCAGCTCAAATATGGCTTACTCCACAAACTTTTCCCCGGTTCCTTCTTCTGGAGGAAATGCCTCTTCCAAATCCCTATAGCATTTAATTTTTTTTTGTCTTTCCCACTTCACAGTTGTATTATAGCTATTTATATCACTGTTTTATCTTCTGCATTGACTATAGCTTCTTGAGGGTGGACTCCAAGTCTGATTTATTTTTGTGGCCTCAACATCTAGATGCAGAAGAGGTTCAAGATGAGAGAATGTCCAAAGAAAATGCCTCTTAGCATAGGAGTGAGGAAAACGAGCTCCCATGGATTGCTGTCAGGATGCTAAGTCCAGTCCTTCCTCACACCCTGTTTAATACCTGCAGTTATGAAGATGGTTAAGAGCACAGAGTCTGGGGCCCACCAGCCTGAGTTCATATCCTGCCATTTGGAAGTCTGTGTCTCTGGATAAATTACCCACCCTCTCAATTCCTCAGTGATCTCATTTGCAACAGGGGAATAACATGGTACCTTAATATGGCACCTACTTCAGAGGGTTGTTGGGAGGATAAAGTGAGTTAATATGAACAAAGCAACTGGAGAGTAGCTGGCACAGAGTAAGCAGTCAGTAAATAATAACCAGTACCGTTATTTGTATTCTGCTTCTCTTACACTCTTCTGCTGTATGGTATGATTGACAGATTTTTTAAATGATACACCTCATAGTAAAAATATTTTAAGATGCACTTTCAATAAATGCATTAATATACTTACAAATTATATAGACACATAATTATTCAAATATATATTATTTTATATTTAAAAACAAATATTATCTTACAAATGTATAGTATATGGATCTTATATATGA